CAAGTGCTTGAACCAGGAATGAGGAATGAGTCTCCCCGTCTGGATGGGACAGGTCACTGTCCATCACCCACCAACCTCCAATCCCTGAGGAGGGGAAAAGGATTTTTTAAAAAAAGATTTGTTAAGCGCACACACACACACACACACACACACACACACACACACACACAAAACAAGACACACACAGAAGACTTGTTATGGAGCCCCGGACAAGGCATCATGTAGGTGCCCAAGGAATAAGACCCTGTAGTTAAATGCTGGATGTGCCAATAAAAGTTCTCCTTAAATGAATTCCTATCTCAACAAGTGTAAGGCTAACGTAAGACATTGCCATCGGCCGGTTACAAAATTTTACAAGTTTTATAATGAAGTTTGTCGATTGTAAGGTCCAAACAGTTAAATAATAATCTTTTAAACCGATAAAAATAACAACAACCCACCCAAACCCTGATCAATTTAAACCCTCTGCCCCCTCTCACCCCTCAGAAAAGCAGCTACATAATTGAAAACTATTTGAGAGAGATAGAGGCCGTTAGCTTGTAGGTGCTCTCCAGCCTTCCCTAGCAGGTGCTTGGATCTGACTCTGAGGAGGTGGAGAGGACAGGAAAAGGTCCCTTTGGCCCGGTGACCTCCCTTGACTCTGCTGCCTTGATGGACTTCCTGTTTTCAGCCAGACTCGAAGTTCCCGGATAGATAACTTCCTGCAGTGAAAGTCCCTCCTCCGTGCCTGTTAACAGCTGTGGATCTGACAGTCACTGTGGTGTGCTTTCACTGCTAAGTGAGGCAAACCAGGCTGCCGACGGTCCATCCTCGAACGCTTCTTCTCACATGCTCCAAACCGTGTTATAAAGACGGCCAAGAAGCTTTTATTGGAAAGAACAGAATTAAGTACTGGAATTTGTCACAGTGCTGGGAAGCAGAATGGCGCTAAAATCAAGGGAACGGGCTGGGTTCCTTATTACTCCTGGACCTTGGGATAAATGACTAACTTTCCCTCAGCCCCCATTTCCTAATCAGGAAAATGGGAAGAAACAACCTTACCTCAGAGGGTTGCTGTTAGGTTAAATGAAAAGTGCACAGCAGGACAAGTAGCTAATAGTGAATGTTGGCCTTTGCTATGTCCGGTCTGATTTAAACTCTTATCCTCATTTTGACTGGCAGTTAAAGACACAGGGTTTCCTAGGTGGACTCCCAGGGGTCCGAGAGGGGAGGCTGTGTACGGGAACCTGTATATTTGTCGGACCTCTCTCGTCCTCTGAAGCAGTCGGTCTTGATTGGCGTGCATCGGTGTCCTTACGTTCCTCCTTCCAGAGTCCCCAGGTGACCCTTTCCTCAGAGAGGCAAGCTGCCGCTCAAGCTACCACATGGCACCTGCTTTCACTCCAGCAGGAGTGCTATTTTTCTATCACAAAGTTGAGGCCAACCTTAACCAGCGTGGCTCAGTGGATAGAGCGTCGGCCTGCGGACAGAAAGGTCCCAGGTTCGATTCCTTGGTTGTGGGCACATCCCCAGTAGGACGTGTGCAGGAGGCAGCTGATCGATGTTTCTCTCTCATCCATGTTTCTAACTCTCTATTCCTCTCCCTTCCTCTCTGTCAAATCAATTATTTATTCATATATATATAAATTAAAACAGCCTGACCGGTGTGGCTCAGTGGATAGAGGTTGGCCTGCTCACTGAAGGGTCCCAGGTTCGATTCCGGTCAAGGGCATGTACCTCGGTTGCAGGCACATCCCTGGTGGGGGTGTGTAGGAGGCAGCTGATTGATGTTTCTCTCTCATCGATGTTTCTGACTCTCTACCCCTCTCCCTTCCTCTTTGTAAAAAAATCAATAAAATATATATATTTAAAAAAAAATAAAGCAAAGTTGAGGCCAATATATATAAACAACAGACCCGTGCTGTTCTGTGTTACCTCTCCGAGGAATGGCGGATAAATAGCAAAGGCAGCTGCGGCGAGAGACGGAGGGACACTCTCCACGGCTCCCACATCCAGGGGAGCACCTGGGAGGTGGGCTTTCGGGCGATGTTGCAGTCACACCCTTTTTGGCTCAACCCCCAGCGCCCTCCCAGGCCCACAGACCTGAGCCGAGCACAGATGTGACTAAGGCTACTTCTGGCCCTTAAGGTTCCTGCCATCGTGGGGACTCAGAGAGCTCAAGTTAACATAATCACACATCTTTAAGGAAATAGGCAGGAAAGGTTTAAAAAAAAAAAAAGACAAAAGTTGGATTATGGTTGGATTTGGCAACTGGGAAACTTCCCACGTGGGGACGTTCCTTTTTGGTCCATCCCAGGGGACAGCTGGAGCGCTTCCAGGAGGGGAGGCACCTGCCGGCCCAGGTGTCAGGTGGCCGCAGTGGCTGGGGAGTGCTGGGAAGGGAAGTTGGTCAGGTCACTCGCCCAGGCTGCCTGAGTGGCCTGTGCCTTCTTTACAAGACAACACTAAACATCACACTCACTGCCACTTTGTTATGCACAATATCCCTCAACTCAGTCACCAACCATCCAATCCAACCCACTTGTGGATGGCATTATGGGGACAATGGAGCTGCTTTGAAAGTCTCAGTAAAGGAATGGTTTTTTTTTTTTTTTTTTTGACGTAGAGAATATTGTTAGAAAGCCAATGTAACAACCGATGAAGGCATTTTCCCTACTAGGCACAGAAGTCAGCTCTTCTTAAATCGCAGGGCTTGACATACTGGGGGGCAGTGCTGCACATCAGTTGATTAAAAATTATTCACTGGATATGCTCCATATAGTCTGAAGTACCCTGGTGGCTCTAAGTCATATATTTGTGACCAAGTAATGATAGAGCAGATTCTACCAGGGAAAGCCAGAAAAAGCCCCTTCTACATCTCCTTCCTTTACCACGCGGATCGATTTTCAATCTTCTTGAATCTAGGGAGATCAGGAGAAGTATAGTTTGGATCTGTATCTCCACTCAACAATTGAGATACAAATAATTGACTCACCTGAAGTGTAGAAGAACTTGGCTCACAATACTTCACTCAGTCTCGCTGATGAAGTTCAAGCTTTTAAACACATATGTTAGGACCAGTTTTCTTATAGTGGCTGAATGGCTAATTTATAACTGGGTTCTCGGTTCTGTTTTTTAATTATGACTCTGCAAGGGACCAGACTCTCTGAAGTGGGTGGGAATCCATTAGACTGGAGAAAGCAGAGAAAACACAGAAATAGGCCCGGGAGAGTCTTGAATAGAAGCATTTCAGAAGCAACCCCTCCCCCACATATACCTATATTTCACCTACAGATGGGTGAAAAGTGATTATCTATGATCCTATAATACTTTATGTAATTACCTGTAATTAAATTAATGCAAGGTAAAAATAATTGACTTAAAATAATATCAAGTATTGATAACAATTACTAGGCTAAATAACATTCTTTTTTTTTTCATAAAAGGAAGTGACATATGCAACAAAGTGGCAAAAACAGAATGGAGTGAGATGTGGTTAAGTGTAAGTCCTTATAGCAAGGAAAGTCATTTGTATTATCCTTACTTCTTTGAATAAATTCAGATGACAGCCCTATTTCATTTCTTCATTCACTTTGGAGGCCAGATGGCATTAGAATCATTTACTTCACCTTGTTGTGCTTAATTACTACAATCAACACACTATTTTCCAAATTAATCATAACAAAGTAATTTCATTAGTAACACAGCAGGCTGTTGAATTATTAGCATCATAACAGTTTGCAAACAATTAAACTTTATTTGAACCTTAAAAATTTGCAGAGTGGAACATTATTGTAAGATCTAATGGCAATAGAGCACAAATTCAGTACAGTGCAAATGATCAAGCAAAATGTTATATAAAATATGACTTACAATCACCTTTGGAAAAAAACAGCTCTCAGTCTAGCTGTTCGCAGAAAAACAAATAAAAGCTAAGCAAACATAATGAGAACATAGCAATTAGTACATTTTCTAACAAGCCATGTTGTTTAGAGTCACATTAATTATTATATTATTATGATCTGAAGAGTGTATGATATATTGTCAAGTGTGTAAAGAAAACTTTCTCCCTGGTAGTATACAAAAGATTTCACCAAATGAATATAAACTTGTCATGAGTTAAAAGCAATGATTATTTTCCCTTCCACTCCACCCATTTGAAATCTGGGTTTTCTTTCCTGTCTCCCACCTGGATTCCAGTTTAGAAAGAACAAAGGCCAGTGCTCAGGCCGAGGCCACACCAGATTTCTGTATCACCACCGCTCAGAGACCGTGTTGCTGGGAATGGCTGGTCATCCGCTGGCGAAGGACTCCCTCTCCTGGACTAACTGTAAAGGAGGCAGCCACGTTCTCTGCGCTCTTTAGTCTGCAGGGGTCTGGGCCCGGGTGGGGGAGGGCTTCCCGGCGGCTGGGAATGCAATGAAAGACTGCTGCCACCTACTGGCCCAGGGCTACAATCTTCACTGAAGCCAGAAGCAGGAAATCTGTGTCCACGCCACCAGCAAGTCCATGTTTATGTTCTACATATTAATTATAGGTAGAAACCCACCGCTGCTTTTGCTTTTCAACCTCTCGGGCTTCGAAAACCAGCCCGGTAGCCTCATCTCCGCTTGTCTTTCCCCAAGATGATCTCACTCTACCCCTATGCCCTCTATCAGGACCAGATTAACAAGCGCACCAATTCATGTCTGACAGCTAGAGCTCAACAGTCTATATAATTTATATAAATTAGAGTTTACTTCCAGTCCCTGGAATGAATATTCTTTAACATCTGAGATAATATGATCATGGCATTAAGGCGATAATGGTAAGTATACACTGTGAAATAGTGTCTGTAAACAGTTTTATGTAAATAATGAAGGTTTTTAAAATATTGCCAGCCTGCTTGCATGGTCAGAATCTTTATCTTCATAAAGCAAAGATCCGAAAAGTTCAACACATGTACATGCTAATCAGTGATTCAATATGAGATTATAGCTTCTCCAAATGATTATCCGTTCGGCAGTGCCTTGCAGTGTAAGTTAAGGACGTTTAAATACCTTTGGTTTCCAATATTCATGAACAGGTGGTGACATCGTCCTGCAAGTCTTGCTCAGGTAGCAGAGCGCATGCTCCACTGTCAGGCTGTCGCTGCCCTTCCCCGTGCCTGCTGTGTGTGTGCTGCCGTGGTCCCCACATGCCTGCTGGTGTGTGTGCTGCCGTGGTCCCCACATGCCTGCTGTGTGTGTGCTGCTGTGGTCCCCACCTCGCTCCCTCCTCTGCTCGGAGGAGCCGGGGAGCCTCTGGCTGGAGTCGCCCTCGGTGGGTTCCCTGCCACCGCCACCAGCAGGCAGGAGGAGAGGCTGGGTCCACCCCTCATTCTCAGGGCACATCGAGATGCCTCGTGCCCTTACCATGGCGGAGAATGGGAGATGGGTCTTAGGAATTTTTATTTCATTAAATTTAAACAAAATGATGGTGGGAGATGCTGGCCAGCCCAGGATCTGACCAGGGTATCTGCTCTTGAAGCAGGACGTCACATGAACCACGGTTCCAGTCGGCGTGCCTTGTGGAAGGTGACAGCACACTACCATTCGCAATTCGATCCCGCTTCCTTCCTTGTGGTGAGAGTTCACATAAAGCAAACTCGCCCTTGGCGAAAATTCTTTCGGGAAAACGTGTCACTAACGTGTGGAAAATAAATACTGACCTAAAACATCTCTAAAGCTTTCATAATGCCTTATTCCTGAAGGCTTTACTGAAGTATCTACCCAAAACTTACATGATACATGCCTTGTACATTTCTGTGAAATTATGTATTTGACAGAAATAACTGACGGCCAATATTGAGAGAGGTTGCAGCTCATACCGGAGTAGCAGTGATGATGTGGAACATATAGAACAGTGCTGAGCTCTTCACACAAATCAAAAGAGTAAAAACAATCATTTCTTTGCAAAACAGCAACAGGTCTAAGTGTACAGCTTGTATCTGATTGGCATGAATGTCCTTCATTTAGGCTCACGTCGGAGCAGAGCCGTGAAGGCAGAAGGCAGTGAGGACGCAGGATGCTAACAAAGGAAGGAAGGGATGCGCTGCCGCTCAGGCCTCCCGGCCGGTCTGACCCCAGGACCTCTGCAGAGAAGCAGGAGACCCTCCGCGGCTGTGGGCAGAAGGGAGAGTTGCATTACGATTTTTTTCTTCAACCGAAACGTTGATTTTTTCCTGTTTAAAAAAATTTATTTTTTAAGCCAAGGAAAAATGAATGTTTACACAACCTTCTTTCTGTCTACCCGGCTCCTCAGAAAGGCCATAAGAAGTGGTATTTTACTGAAGAGGAGGAGGTCTGATCACCACAGATACTTTCTCTTAATAATCTATTTCCAAAGTAAATTCCACGAAATTATTTTTAAAATTAAACCAGACTCCTTTCTAGAAAGAAGATTTGGAAACATAAGCTTCATGTTATCAGAAAACTACCAAGACTTAGAAAAAGGCAAAGACTCATAATGCGGAGACCAAGAGAACATATGAGCTATTACGGAATATTGGATTAAAATGTACTTACCAGGACTCTCAGATATCATACATCTCCATTATGTAGGCTTTCGGCACCAAGCCAATGGCTCCCTTCATTTCTCCTACCCACCAGCCGTATCTATTGTATTCCTAATTGAAAACAATATGCAATATTAACCTTTAGGCTGGTAGAAGTACAATGTCCTTTGTGTGCAACTTCGGAGAAATGTTATTTCTTTTTATAAAGTTACAAGAGCTTGAGCTGCAAATTGAAACATTTTCATCTTTTTTTGTTTCTGGACACTTTAAAAATGCTGCTAGGCAAAGATTTAAATTAAAGTTTAAGACAAAGCCTGTTTATTACTGGGTGTAGAACACAGAAACAGTCACTTTTAAGAACCTAACGAGTGTATCAACCTCGCTCCCTCCTTCCCTCCTCCTTTCCCTCTCCCTCCTCTGCAGGGGCTACAGCGTCACAGCCAGGATCCTGGGATACCACCTTTGCCTTCAAGAAGTTTACCATCTAGCAAAGATAGAATTATTTTCACAATAAACTACTTAATTCCTACTTAAACTCTTATCACCAAAAATGATTTGGAATATAGAGGTATGCCTCTTCTTAAGAAAATCTTTTATAAGCCCATAGATATTTTTAAAAATATATATTTTATTGATATTTTACAGAGAGGAAGGGAGAGGGATAGAGAGTTAGAAACATCGATGAGAGAGAAACCTCGACCAGCTGCCTCCTGCACACCCCCTACTGGGGATGTGCCCGCAACTAAGGTACATGCCCTTGACCGGAATCGAACCTGGAATCCTTCAGTCGGCAGGCCGACACTCTATCCACTGAGCCAAACTGGCTAGGACAAGCACATAGACATTTTAAACAGATAAATTAGAGAAAACAAGGAAACACTAATAATACCCGCCCCCCAATTCTTTATAAAACCGTTCACAAAAAGGTTCCTTTAAGAAAGCTTCCCTAAGGCATGTGTTGTCTTCTATTGATCATTAACTACAATTGATAAAGGATGGGCAGAAGGAATTTAAAGATGGTGTTAGACTCTCCCTTACAGGAGGAGATCAATGGGAAATAAAGTATCCCAGGTTATAAAGGCGACATATTAGCCAGCTGTGAGAGAGAGGGAGTGAAGGGCCACATGGCCTTCACTTTGTCCTGGGAGATGAGCCTGCGCCTCCACTCCTCCCCTTTGCCTCCACGGCAGACACACCACTGCTCTAGGCATCGCGAGCTCTCTGTAACCGGTCTCATGGCTCTGCCAGGTTGACTAATGCATTTTTATCTCAAACTTATTTATGTTTCGTGAGAAAAACAAAGTAAAATGAATTACAAGTTTCAAGAATAATATCTTTCCAAAGCAATACTCTGCAAAAGCATTGGAGGACCCAAATTTAATTTTTCCGAAAGATGAATTTTTAAAATCAATCCCCAAAGTAATTCAATAGGCTGTGACTTCCCAACATGCGAGTCCCAGACAAATGGGTGGCATGTGGGAGGGAAGGTTAATCCAGGCACAGACTTAGCATCTGCACCGATGAGTGTGCCACTGCCCACCAGAAAGGAAGTCACATTCTCCAATACAAAGGCAGCAGCACCCAGTGCGTGCTGATATGTAGTCTGTCGATCGAGATTGTGGGGCTAAGGCTACATGTGCGTTTTGAACTGTGACGGACCAGAACGAGGTTTACTCCAAGAACAGGGTGGAAGGAAAGAGACAAAGGCTTCTGATTCTAACGAGAGCACATCTGGCTCATGATTCTAAGTTTAAACGTTCTCTGGTAGTGTGGACTTAGTGGACAAAACTGCCTAAGAAACGACGTAGCCTGATGCCCAGAACTCCGTGGTGATGACTATAATGTATTTACCAGAAGAAAATACCAGCCTACTGAAAGCTAAGATTAGCAGCCATTACACCCTAATAGGTACCTAATAAAACTGCCCTTTTCAATTTTTAAGGCAATGAGTACAATTAGAGCCTAACGCTTAACAAAACAAACGTATTTAACCTCTCAGAGGCCAAAGTCGTACCTTGTAAAATCTCAAGCTAGATGGTTAACAGGGTAAACGTAAGTGTGAGAGCTCTGACCCAACACCGGTCTGTTTTTACAACTGATGATCTGGAAGGAGGAAAGAGATGAAGGCCGGAAAGGACAGGCACTGAACATGTGCAGTGAGAGGCATGTGATGACCCAAACATGCTTTTATAGAAGAGCCCACAATCTGGTTTCAACATTTAGATTCTAATTACAAACCAGAAAGTTTATAACATTCTGCGGTGGTTATAACCTGTGTTCTCCATGAAAGATATAGTATTGTTCTCAAGAAGCTGACTCACACCCAAATTTGAGAAATGGATTTCCAGCAAATCACTCCAACCAAGGACCGATGGCACGCTTCCCACGTGAGGGAGTCCTGCCTGACAGGAGCTGGTAGGATTCACTGAGTGGGAAACACAGCAGTAAACAGCGGGAAGGAGCTTATCCAGCTGTAAACAGGTCCCTTCAAAGAAACACTCCAGGAGAAAAAATAAAATAAAGTTCTGGGCTGAAATCCTCTTAAATGCTAACACTTAATTAATTTAAAATGATTGAAAAACCACATGAAATACACACCTCATAAAAGTACTCTAACATATCACAGGTTTAAATCAGAAAAGGGTATAAATAAATAAAAAACAGAGTGTTTATTGCGCTGCGTTCATAAAGGATTCCTCGGAATGCTCCTGTGTGGAATGAAGAGGTAAGATGAAATACAGGGAGGTGAGAATCTACTAGGCAAATTTATAGGTTTTCACCGCGGCGTGAGCGCACGTCGACGAGACTGCAAACACAGAAGCTGCTCCTTTTATCGTTACCATCCCCTGGATGAGCCTCCTGAGCAACATGAATCCCAATTAAACGTTTGCAGCCTATAAAAGGGGAGGAAGATGCTTCCTGGAGCACAGCATTCTCAGCCTCAGCCCGAAGACGCGCCATCACACAAGGTTGCCTCTGAAGAAGGAAATTGGCCTCTCTGTGCCTTCCCCCAAACAGATGTGATTAGGAAGGCTCGATTACTTACAGCGGAAAACAATACACTCCATGCAATCCCGCCTTGCAGTCCACATACCGAGTATAGACAGTGTTGGTCTAAAAGTCACAGGTGGGTCACTGAAAAAACAGCAACGCTCAAGCCTGATCTGGTTCATAAACAAAAAATAAAGAGACCGAACCATAGCAGGCTGCCATCCGAATCTCTGAAAAAGCTAGGAAGGGTCATGTCATCTTCTGGCTCGCGAGAGCTCAGGTACAAGGAGATCCGCCATCTGGTCTCCCTCACCCTCCTCGGCTCTTAACAGCAACTGAAACGCCAGCGCAGGCCGGTGACTGCACTTGAGCGGGACTGATAAAATAATGAAGAGTGCTTTAATCTACAGGAAACCATTCTAGTCAATTTATAAGAAATATTGCATCCCTTTGTAGGACGTGTAATTATTTTCTATTAATCATGTGCTATAAAGCTACATTATGCGGTTATTCTGTTATCGCTGGGAAGGGGCCTGCAGTCAGTTTCTGACAATGTTAGGTAATTACTGACACAGAGCTGCTTTCTCTTCCTGTGGCAATGCCTGCGCCATCCAGAGGTGCAGGGATGCTGACGGGCTGAAAGCAGCGCTAGGATGGAATGCAATGTCTGCCACAGGGATGGCTTCGAGGCACAATGCGATGCGGCAGTCAAAGCAAGAGCCAAACGCCCTGCAGTCCGCGGGAATCATGGTAAAGCCGCCCTGAACGGTGGTGATCTAACTCCCGTTTTCAATTCTCAGACCGTCACAATCGCTTCCCTTAGTTTTACTGCGTAGTTAAAATGTTAGGCCTCCATTAATAGGTATTAAGCAGTAGATTGAAGTGACTGAGTCACAAGGAAGGAAAGGGCACTGGTTCTGATAGAGGGAGATTCGGACCTGAGCCAGCACCTGCAGGGAACGTAAGTCCGTGTTCACTCCCTGAGCCTCCATCTGTGCCATGTGTTACTGCCCACGTACAGGAGGCCCAGCACTTACTATTAACCCTCTGCGGCTCCTTGATTTTCATTTTTCAAGTACGCTAGTCCACTTCCGGCTAACCATCTGGCAGAGGAACGGTGCCTTAACAGAAACCCGGAACACTGATAAGGGGCTGTGATGTGCTGCTCCTTTCAGAAATTAGTCACCAATCTGAAAGCGACAGGTGTTTCTTCAAACATGTATCTCTCTTCCAACTATTCCCTGGGATATTTTCAATTTCTCAAATTATTTATACACATGGTAATAGTATGGATATTAGATAACTATTTAAAACACGGAAATCTTTTCTTCAGGTTACCTCTTTCAAGAACTTCCGCCTGCTACCCACGTGTGGACTGCTGGCAGGGAGGGGGGAGGGATTAGGGTGGGGGGAGGCAGCCACACAAGGAGCCCGCAGTCAGTGCACTGAGGAGCCAGTGGAAGCTACTGAGCAGCAGAGTGAGCTGGCAAAGGCCAGTCCTGAGAGGAACAGAGAGGCAGGACTGATCAAGAGAGGTGAGGAGGCCTGTGCAAGCGCGGTGACAGCTGCATGGAAGGGGTGGGTGAGCCTGGGAGCAGTTACCAGAGTCGGGTGTTGGTTGGTGAAATGCACTGAGTGCCAAGGCCACCTTCTACTGAGCTTGATTTGGTCCTTCTTTGCCTGAAAGTACCTCTGAATTATCAAGGCAAGTCTCATTTCATCCCTATCTGTCGTATCAATAGATGCCTGCCGAAAAGGGATTCCATAAAATCCAGCACCTATTTATGGTAAAAACTCTCGGCAAAGTGGGAATAGAGGGACTATAAGAAATGCCATATGGCACAAACCCACAGCCAAAATCAGACTCAACTGGCAAAAACTGAAAGCATTATCCTTAAGATCGGGAACCAGACAGGGATGTGCACTTTTACCACTCTATTCAACATAGCTCTGGAAGTGCTAGCCACAGCACTAAGACAAGAAGAAGAAATAAAAGGCATCCAAACTAGAAAGAAGTAAAACTATCATTATTTGCAGATGACATGATACTGTATATAGAGAATCCCAAAGGATCAATCAAACTAATAGAACTGATCATTGAATTCAATAAAGTAGCAGAT